ACTCTCAAACTCACATTGTCCCTTTATCAGCCTCAAAACAGAGTCATCCCAAGCCTGGATCTCCAACAATCCCCCCTCAACTGTGTCGGACGAGCCAGCTTCAATTATCTGGTCGAAATCCACAAATTTGTTGTACTACTTCACCACCCTCACCCTCGTCTCTGTCTCATACGCTGAGAGGCAAGTAATGATGTCCTACTTTCTTCATGCCGTATGAGTTCCATTCCTCTCTGGTGACACACTCCATTGACACATATTCTATCTCAAGTATCCAACTCACGCCGTGCCTTCCTCTACACGGTTCCCTTTATGGATTGCTCACTTTCTGGTGTGTGTGTCAGCAGCGCAGTTCCATGGTTGTCTGCTCCCCGACCCCATCGAGCTCCTGTGGCCACAAATTGGTGTCCCTTCCGTCATATTGAAGGGTAAAGCTGGTCAGAACGGTTGTGCACAAGAAGATGGCTGTTGTAGTCGCTCTTGAGGAAGTGAAGAGTGAGGATCAGAGGGAGCTTGCAATGCTTGTTAGTGCCGCCAGGGCTAACTTGTGAGTTTTTTATCATTCTTGTTGTAACTGAGGGGCGCTAATGGTGTTTGGTTAGCTCTGACAAGTATGAGGAGCAGTGCCATATCTGAGCATTCCATGGGGGCATTTTTGAGCAGGTCCTGAGGTGGTTTTGTCAGGACGCTTTCTGTGATTCCCTTTACTTGCTTGGAGCATGCAGATATGTGTATTTGCAGCTCATGTTTATTCAAGAGATGCACTGTATCATCATGTTCGTATGTGTTAACGTTACATGGTCCTTCATGTTGTGTTCTAGTGTCTTGTCATTTAGAATCCTCACAAGTTCTTATAAAAATAATCTGATACATATCATTTGTTTATGAGTGGAAGAAGGGAGTGCCAAGCTTCTGAATGGGCATGGTTAGTGTTTGAAAGTTAGGTTAGTTAACCAGAAAATAACCGGACCTAACCACAACACTAACCTAACCGCAGTTAGGTTAGTTGATTTCGAAAATGGAATAACCGGTTATTTTGCAGTTAACTAACCATTAAATAACCGGTTATAACCAGCCCTATTATACACCTTCAAAACGCACTTGAGAACGTCGAAAACGCTTAAAATTTGACTAGGTTATGGTCAAATCTCTAAAATATCACTCAAATATGTAGACTTTCAAGGATAATTGCATAAATATGTCAATTCTTCACCGATTTTAGCGTGCTTGGGCTCGTTTTAAAGCTAGAATATGCAGAAATAATATCCATCAAGATATATATGAGCATATTTGCCTTGTTATAACCGATTCTTCATTTTTCTGTCCTAACCAGTTAGTTGCGGTCTGGTTAGGTTATTTTAGGTTTCAGGACAAAGGCTAACCGGTCTTGGTCTCGGTTAGAGCCCCTGGGCACCCAATAACCGGACCTAACCAGACTTTCGAACACTAGGCATGGTAAGGGAGATCTACGATGCACTTCAGATTTTACAGGGATGAAATGCTTGGCCAAAGGATTACTCACCATAAATCGGAGTTCTGGAGCATGCCAGCTCACCATAAATCAACCACTAGGGTCCAGCTTGCTGTAATTTCAATCATTCAGCTCCTGGACTGCACCAGCTCACTGTAAATCCCTGTAAATTGAACCTGATTTACTGTAAATTTTGGGTGGGTAAGTTCTTACAGCTTCTTACCACTACTTACCCACCTTATTTACCTGTTGGTTTCCTTTGTGTTAATTCCTGTGTGCACCTGTTCTCATAACACAGATGGCTGGGATCCCCCTTCAGACGAAAAAAGCCTTGAAAAAATGTGTATATATAGTATTTAGCGCAACAGGGATTACAATGGTAATCAATGGCCCACTCCACCAGAATTATAATTATAATAACAGACATGACATGATGTGTTGCTTCTATTTGGTGTGCACGTGCCACATGTGTTCCTATTAACAAGCACACCCACCAGCTCTTAACAGAGACCATTGCTTCCCATTAGTGACAAATTAGGTATTTGTAGTTCCATGTATCAATTGATTCTACCTATCTTATATTTCTAGTACATGCTTTCAATATTGTATGGTATTCCATTGGTATCCTATTCGGTCAAGTTCACCAAGGACTCATTCCCAAGCTGTCCTTGAAGGAGACATGCAGAGGCTGGGACGATGACATGAGAAAACAAGACGAAAAGAAAGAGGACAGGTTGCTGCAAGGAGGCACCTGTCCTTTCACAAATGTTCTGATGGATTGATTGATGTTGAAGCACAACACACGTTAACATTACTACAAGTGAACAAAAGGGGGGCAGATTAAAAAATGCAGCCCACAACATCCTCTGTTCCAAGCTCCCAGCCTGAGGAGCAGACCAGGTCCACATGCCGCGCCCTTCGCAGGCAAAGTAAGAGGGCAGGAAGAGGGCTGGCGGCATCGGGGATGACGAGGTCAATCTGCCACTGGAAAAGGCCCATTCAGATGCCGTGGAAGAGCCTTGAATAGCAAGGTAATCATGTGTGATTCGAGCAAGTGTGGGGTACTGTGATGCATGTTGCTAATATATAAACAAATCATCAGGGTCTACATGCCATAAAAATTGTAAATGATTCAACATACCCCCCACCAAAGGACAACATCCTTTGCTTGTTCCAATGGGCTGTCGAGATACATTCTAAGCTCTTCTCAGGGATTTGCGTTCACACGCTCTGCATCTTTGTGTGATCGGACGGATGCTTGCATCTAAGAGTAGCCATATGTGCCATTTGTTGGCCCAGGAACATCTAAGTATGACAATCAGTCCTTTGACGAAAGTTAAAGATGAGTGTCATAAAAAGACTTACCTTCTGCATCCAAATTAGTCTTTGGTGGACTTGGTGTAACATAGTATGAGTTGAACTGTAGATGATAAGTGAACGTATTGTGCGAGCACAAACAGAAACTTACAAGTTCTTTGAGGCGTTGAACACCGGCATTGAAAAAGTCCATGTCCCATTTATCTTCGGTGTATGCAAGCTTGATGTTTGGATCAAGTGCTATTATCGGCAGACATTAGTTAATGACATGTGAGATATAATGATAATGTACCAAGGCAAATAAAATAGACATCAGTATCATCTACCTTATGATACCATTTCCGAAGATTTTCGAGGCCTTTATCAAGGGCAGATTCCATCTCTGCAAACTTTGTGACCTTGGACATATTCTCCCAGGATTGTTGGAGGAACTTGAGGATCAGAATGGTCCGAAAGACTGTGGGGATCTTTGTGCTGGAGAAACTTTGCTGGGCATTGGCGGGCTCCTGTAAGATAAGGTCAGAAAGTTCAACATCCATTTGAGAGATACATACCCAAAGAATTTCATGGACTAGTTTGATGTTCTTCCAGTCTCTTTTTGATAAGCAAAAGTCCGAGTATGATTTGCCCTGCAAGTCCAGAACACTCTTGCTATCATCAGCAAGAAGGACAAACTGATCGACGGCCTGTTAATGTAGCTTCAGTATGGTGAGAGTGAGGTTAACGGTTGACAGACCTTTCATATGACAAGCAGTCTATCAAGGAACATGTACATCAAGGCCCAATGAGTGTGAACCCATGTCAAGAGAGTAAGTGTTGGCAACTGAACTTGTTCACACATTCTGCAGAGGAAGGTGCATGCTTGGGGAGACTTTCGGATCTACAATAATATCAGTAATCTACATACAAGTGGAGCAAACATCAATCTACTTGAGTGGCAAGGGCAAGTGCCTTCCCAACGGCGTCTGACAAACCATCAACATTATCATCTTTGTTGTCCTCCTCATCCTCACTGTTGACTGGCTCGCATTGAGTCATCTTGTCCACAAGACAGTGCGCTGCTGTCAGGGCCACAGTGCTAATGAAATGGCCAGCTGCAAGGTGGATTGCATGCTCCATGCACTTGGACAGAGGTGAGAACTGCTTCTGTCGTAATATCCTTGAAATTCTTACTGCACGTGACGTTGGGCTGGATCCCAGCCATCATCACCATCAGCATTCAGCAGCCGATTCAACTCATGGATGGCAGTGTCGTTGTTACTTGTGTTATTGGCAGTGAACCATCTGATCTACAATGTGATCATCGTTGTTAGCTACCGGTACTCATGATCAACTCCATACTTACCTTGTCTGAAATCTTATAACGTTCAACAGTCTGGAATAAAATATTGGTGATGTTCAACCCAGAATGGTTGCCTTCGATTGAGGTGAAAGCAAGCTGCTCCTCATGTACTCCCACTTCTGTGGATCGTCTTCTGGAGAGTCAATGTAATGGCCAGTGATTGATAAGTAGGGGTCTCCAGGCTCCAAAGTCCATGAGCCGAAGGTGACAACACCTTCCAGTATTGCCTGAAAATTGTGTGATTATCTAAATGGAAA